TTTTAATATTAATTGATACTAATAAAAATTAAATATTAATATTAATTTATACTAATTAATAATTTTAGTATTAATTGATACTAATTAATAACAATTGTTGATTATTAATATTAATTGATACTAATAAAAATAAAATATTAATATTAATTTATACTAATTAATAATTTTAATATTAATTGAGACTAATTAAGGCATTAATTGATACTAATTAATACTAATTATATTAACTTTTATTAATGAAAATTAAAACTGAAAAAAAAATGACAAAATAATCATTTTTATATCATATAAGGGTAGAAAGAACAATTATACAGTAAAAAGCTATTTTATAGCTTATTAACCAAACACTACTCTACTGTTTAAATTCATAATCCCACAGTTGTACCAAGCAGGTTAACAGCTTATGTTCACAGTTATAAGTCATAATCTGTTAAGTTATAATCTATAATCACTTTTCTACAACTCTACCAAACGGGACCAAGTGCTTTAAATAAAGGTGGGCTGATTTACTTAGTCTAAGTAATTGCACAGTTCTCATTTGACTAGACACGTGTCTCACTTGCACACTATTAATTTGTAATTATTTCTGGACTTGGCATTTTACATGTTAATCATTCAAAGAAAATGGCAAAATAACACTAATAAACTCTTTTTTCTCCTGTTCCCTGTTTTAAAGCTCCCATGGGTAATGCCAATCTGAGACTCTGCTTAAAATAATCAGGCCCGACCCGGAGATTTTTGGGCTCAAAGTCAATAATTAACTAATAAGTTTTTGGGACCCTTCACAATTTTTTTTTCATTGAATGAAAAAAAATGAAAAAAAAATAAAGATAAAAGACAAAAAAATTGTGTTAAAATCACAAAAAATACTTAGTATTATATTATAACAATTAATAAATGTCGCTTGATCATCACTCTTCTTGCATTTTTAGAAGCAAATAAATCCATTATATTGCATAATTTAGTTTTTTTTGCAAAATCATTTTCAATGGATAACAATGCTAATTATTTTAAATGGGCCTTTCAATTTTTTAATGGGTCAATTTATTTTAAGTTAATTTGGGTCTTCCTTAATTTTTTTTTGAATTTAAAATATACCTAATATATTACAATAAACTATAATAGGATGATTCTTTTTTTGGATCTATTTTCAATGAATAACAATATTAATTTTTTTGAATGGGCCTTTCAATTTTTTAATAGGTCAATTTAGTTTAAGTTAGTTTGAGCCTTTTTAAAAAAAAAATTAACTTAAAATATACCTAATATATTACATTAAACCATAATAGAAGGCGGCCCATTTTTTGGGTCTATTTTGAGGGGCCCTAGGCCATGGCTTTATTGGCCCATGCCCAGGGCCAGCATTGAAAATAATGGTGGCGATGTACTAGCTTTATTTTGGAATTACACTAATGCTAAGAACACATAATTAAAATATAGAATGGGTCACAAAAAGCGTATTTATAGGTTGAGATCTATTCTTATTGTAGACTCCTCCATAACTTGGTTTAATCCAAACCTTCAATTCATTTTCTGTAAACCATTTTGTGATCTATTCGGTAAACCATTTTGTGATCTATTCTGTGTTCCTAGCATTGTTGGGTAAACTTTGATATTTAAGCCATTTGATTGAATTTCCATGTTGGTGCATAGACCTTATTTTAGTTCCATCTCTACCCCTTCTAAATTCTGGTGATAAATAACAGAACTCTCTCTGCAGATACCCATTAATTTTATCCTATGTTTATCAGCTTGTGTTCAAAATCAAGTTAGCACCATAATGGGCTGATATATAGGAAAAAGTTTTACTCCAACCTTTTCCTGATTAATTGACCTCTTTGTAGAATAAGTAATGTTATACATAAACAGAATTCTTACTAGACTTTTCAATAGGTACAAAGGTAGTAAGAAAATCTTATAAGATATTTCATATATGTATTACATTTTCTTTGTAGAATATGTATGGATTCAGTGACCAAAAAGTTCACTGGAAATAGCATTTTCTGGCAAAGATTATCATGTATTGCAATATTGAACTAACAGGAATTGCAAGAGAAAGGCTAATGAGGAAGCTTCAAGAAAGTGTATTAATAGGGATTAAAATATTGAGAGAGAGAGAGAGACAGAGGCTGAAAATTATGATTGCTGTTGTTGTATTATTTAGTACAATCTCATGCAGATTCGTCTGTTACTTTGAATATTTGCATTTTGTTTTAGAAACCACGGGTTTCCAATTTTTTAGGCACCCAAGTTCAGCTATTCATCAATGGAGGAAGAATCATCGTCAAAGTCCCGATCATGCTGCTCATCCTTGATCGACAACTCCCATACGATCAAGATGGTACCACTACCCGATCTTTTAAATCCCAACTTGCTCAACTGCGAGCAAAACCTTCTTCAACTCAAGTTCAACCTTGTTGATCAGAAGAATCGAATCAACGAGTCACAACCACAAGTCCCATTCCCTATAATTCCAGAACTCCAACTGGATGATCCACTCGAGTTGGGAAGCCGAGAACTCATGGACCCCACCTTTCTGGATGTGTTTGGGAATGTCGATGCTTCTGACATTGGTGACATGGCACAGCTTCCTCTCGTGTTGCCATGTGGTGGAAGGGAAGAAAATGAAAACCCTGCGACCCCGGATAGCTTCTTCAATGACTTCCCAGCAGATATATTTGATCATATGGAGCCACTGCCTAGCCCATCAGAGTGGTGATGTGTTTTGTGGATCACAAAGGTTGTTTCAACTATTCTGTTCTAGTGTTCTTAGCTACTAATTAGACAAATTGTTATTGTTTTTAAGACTTTTTTTTGGATCTAAAGTTGATTGTATGCCTATTCTATCTCTGATAAACTATAGTGTAAGATTGTTGCCTCATGGATTGGCATATGAAATAGTTCACTGTAAATTTCAACCATGACATTCTCATATCAACAAATTGGTCACAAAGCATTCCATTACCAATCAAAACCATTTATATCAATGTATGATTTAACTATATTTTTCTACTTATTATGGCTTTATAAATTTGAACATTTGTCTTCTTTTCTGTACACGAATTTTAATTGTCATTGTGGGAGTGATATCCTCACTACTCGTTCTTGTATTTGCATAGTACGTCTTAATAATAAAAATTCGTGCAAAATAGTGAAAAAAAAAAAGAAATGAGAATATTTCTATTGCCACTGATGATTGGGAGAGTTAAATGTATCTTAGTTTAAAGAAGATCAAAACAAATTTTAGCATAATATGATAATGTCTCTCCTCTTATCAGAAGAGCTTCAAAATTCAAACTCATAACATTTTTAATCTTTTAAATTTTTGATAAATATATATATATATATATATATACATATTTTTGTATGGACTGTTATTTGGAAGAAAGAATAAATCCAAATATATGCCCATATATTAAATGCAAATTACAAAAATAACTATAAAAAATATTTACAAAATTTCATTATATTAGATACAAGGTAAATTACACTGACCTTCGCTCATGTTTATAACAATAATGGATAACTCCCTCAAGGTTTTGAAATGACAGTTACCTCCTCTTTGCTTTGCAGTAGTATTTCAGTTATCTCCCCTGCTACTTTTCTGTCAATAAAAAAGAAAAATTAGAATTATTACTACATAATTTTTAGGATAAATTACACCAACCTCCCCTTAGGCTTAAAACATTGCATATATCTGCGTTAGATTCTTAAAAGGGCATATAACATCAGTGGTCCTTATATTTTGCTCCTTGTATTATTTTAGTTTCTATGCTTTCAATTGACAATTTATTTTAAATTTTGTGTCAATTTAGTTTAATTGATAATGCATAAGTGTTTTTGACTAAAAATAATTACTAAATTGGTCGAGATTAACTCACTAAGGTTAGTAAATTTAAAATTTTACTCAAAAAAATATAACATATGCCACTTATATGTATATTTTTTTATAAAAAATACTAAGAGTTGTAATCAATTAGATCAAATTGAAACAAAATCATAAATTCAAGGTCAAAATCGAGTCAATTAAAATTATAGAGACTAAAACGATACAAGGACCAAAATACAAGAACTACTGTCGCAATTTGCCCTTCTTAAAATGACAATTACCTCCCCTCAGTTGTCCTATATTAAGATGGTGTTAGCTTTTTAGTTGATTTTACCATTTTACCTTAGTTGATTTTTAAAATCACTAAACTAATATTTTGATGTCCAAATGAGCTAATGAATTCGAAAATAATTATATTATCAAAATTTGCAAAGGCTACCCTTAATTGGTTTATTATGTGAGGCCTCATTTGGGAACAGGCTAATTTAGTAACTTTTTGACTATTTGGCTAAAAAGGTAGGTAAAAAAAACTTGTATGTTTGGGATGACTTTTTGGCTAATTACGAAAATATGTGCAAAAAGTAGAGAGAAAAAAGAATCTTTGACTTTTTGATATGGGTTGTTGGCTTTTTGGCTAATTTAGCAACTTTTTGGCTAATTGACTAAAATAGCCTCTTGCCAAACGAGACCTCACATATTGAATATATAACTTTTGATAAACAGTATGAAGAAAAGACCCGTTACTTTTTCACTTTTTAAAGAAAAATACTAAATAAATTGTGTTCATAAAAAACAAAATCAATTTTTGTTGTGCTTAGAAAATAGAAAATAATAATAATAAAACAAGTTTGATTTTTTTCAAAAATACTAGCATCATTAATTTTGGAATGTAGTTAGAGGACTTATATTTTTTAGTATTGTAAACTTGATATCTATTTATTAAAATGGATGAAGGGTAAAGTGAGAATTTTAAAAGAGATCATCAATTCCAATACTTTTTGTTGGTAGAAAAGTAGCATGGGGAGGTAACTAAAATACTGTTGCAAACCAGAAAGGACGTAATTGTTCTATTATATGCAAGTATAATTCAACTCTGCCATATAATAAGTCTAAGTTATTTGTCATGTTTCACTTAGAAACATTGCTAAAGGACTGGTTAGTCGTATTACACAAGTTTGGAAAAATCAAACTAAGGGCTGGTTTGGGGTAACCTGAATCAGCTAAAAAGTCAAAAAGTTATTCCAAAATTTAAAAAGATATCACTATTCATCCAAAAAAAAAATTAAAAAATTAATTTCTTTCAAAACAGGTACACACGGAATTGACAAATAGTCAGCGGGTGTGTGCGGCAGTGCAGAGCAAAAGAAATGATTGGGTGTGATTTTTATACACACCGTTGTTCGTCCCATGGGGCCATTACGGGTCCCGTTTGGCTAATCTGAACCGTTCAATATGTAGAAATCGTCGAGTAATATATGTCTGCCAAAAATCACATTAATCGGATATCGATAACTATATGATCAAATCAGTTATGTACAACAAATGGATGGTGTTATAATTAATGATTGAAAAATAAATAAATCTAATCAGATAGCTATCGATATCCGATTAACATGATTTTTTGTAGGTACATAGTGTTCGACGAGTTACACACATTGAACGGTTCAGATTATTAAAATGGGACCCGTGATGCCCCCACGGGCCAAACAAAACCGTCAAATGCTTTGTACAAAAATTAGCCAATAATTTCCAACCCCAATACACGGCTGCATTGTGTACGGCTGGGGCCCACCACTCTCTAATCATTTCTTACACATTTTTTCATAAAAATCTAAAAAGTTAACCCAAACCTCCATATTTTTTTCTCAACTTTTTTAGTTTAAAAAGATAAAAAGTGCACTTTTTTAGGACACCCCAAACCAGCCCTAAAATACTGTTGCAAACCAGAAAGGATGTAATTGTTATTTCAAAAACTTGAGGGGCGGTATCTATAATTAATATAAACTTGAGGGAGGTTAGTGTGATTTACCCTAAATACAAAGATATTTAGTAATTATTTGGCATGCACTAAAAAAATGCACATTTTTTTTTGTATATATATACTTATTTGGGTCACATCAATCAACATATTCTCTCTATTTTTCTATCGAAAAATGCTTGGGAGCACTAATTAGTGCTCCCACTAATTAGGTGGCAGTGGGTCCCGCCATTAATGATGTGATGTTTTGGTCTTGGAGTTGTAGTTTTTTTTTTTTTTTTTTACTTTTTTAATGCATTAGTGCTATTAGTGGTGATGTTTTTAGTGGGATGAATCATTGTTGTTTTCTATCCACTTTCTCTACTTTTCTACACATTTTTTTTATTATAAAAAGTCAAAAAATATACTTATTTTGAACATCCCAAACCATCCCTTAGTCTTACATATATTTATTAATATGGACCCACTGTCTTGTGTGCAATGATCACTTTTTTTTTCCGATTTTATGTAGTATTTTACTCGAAAGAATAATAATTCAAAAACTATAGTTATGTATTTAAAATTTTACATAAATATGACATAGTCAGAAATTTCATTCAGCAGGTTCATTTAGCAAAACATTATCAATTTCATTATATCATATTTTTAGTTCTATATACAACCAAACAACATTAACATTCACGTAATACTTTACATGAAAATTCCTGAATTTCTTATATATCCAATTATACTGACAAAAGTAATCAAAACTAAGTCAAATTACAAGTACAACAAAATATTGGGATATCCAAAATAGTGAGACTGAGTTTATTATTATTTATTTTAGGTTCAATGGATTCAATAGGTAAATAGTTAACAATTTTAGTTAAAAATTATATTTACTTTAATTTTTTTTCTTCAAAAATGCTTCAGGGCTCGAATGTGTTGGCTCAAATGGCCCGAAAGCGTGGGCTCACGCGCCATAACACCCCTATCTCGCTCTCTCTCCTCTTTCAGTGTTATACCCAACTCTTTCTCTCTATAGTTCTGTTCCTCATCGTTCTTCTGAATCATCTCTTCTTCCGGTTCATTTTCGAATCAATCGCGCTTATCACCTCCTATCTTTCAGTGTTATACCCAACTCTATCTCTCTCAATTGCTCTGTTTCTCATCGTTCTTCCGAATCATCTCCTCTTCTGGTTCATTTCCGAGTCATTCGAGCCTATCACCTCCTCTTTCCTCCCAAACGACGTCAGAAAGTTGTACTGTGGAAAGGACTATCAGCGTGCTCGGTGGAGATTCTGAACACTCCTCTCAGAAGGTTACCCTCACACTCAAATCTCAGGTAAACTCTAGATGACAAAACTAGGGTTAGGGTTTTGTATTTTGTCCCAATAATTTCAGTTAACCTGTGTATCACAAAATTAGGTTTCATCACAATTTTAGTTAAATTTTTCCCAATTTCTTGCAACTGCTGAATTGTGTGATCTGCTGTCTGTGGATTGTGGTTGTTCTGGAATCAGACCCTATGTTAAATATCTTCCATTGTTGGCTCTTGCATTCCAATTGTTTGATGAAAATCCACATAGAAAAAATATGGCTAATTTTATATGCTGAATTCAAATGTGATGTGTGGAATTTTTTTTTTTTGGTTATATTGGAATCAGACTCTTTGTGCTAATATATTTGTATTTACAAGGTTTCTGCCTGCGTTCTAGTTTGCAAAAGAAATTTTAAATTTTTGTTCTTTCAACTAATAACTTTGTCAATAAATAGTTATTTATTCCACTCGTCTATCTACATTTTTATAAATGTCAATGGCAAAATATGCAGAAAATGTTTGTTATTAGATGAATTTGATATGCAGGATATGCAGAAAATGTTTGTTCTTTGCCTTCTGCTTAAAGAAAATGTATGTTCCATGTGCAGAAAATGTTCTTTGTATGTTCTTGAATTAGATGAATTTGTATGTTCTTTGCCTTATGGTTGAAGAAAACGTTTGATTTACTAGCTTGATATGCAGGATTCAACAGACTGTGGAATTTGATGAATTTCACTTTATGATTTACACCATGTGCAGTTTATCCTTTGATATATGGAAATGAGCACACAAACCCTTATGGTTTGTGATTGCTAAACATAAAATTTGAATTTTGAATGTATAAGACACTTGTTCGGTGAATATCATAGAGCATTGAAGACATGAAATATGGAAACATGGTTTGAAGATGCATCTGTCTTTAATATTTGAATATTTTGAATTTTGTTTATGCAGATTAAAAATGGCTTCTTCTTCTATTAACAACAACAATATTAGATTAAAACCAAGAATGTGTGATTGTGGAAAAATAGCTGCAATGTATATTATACAAATCAATGAGAATGGAAATCAAGGGCGTCTCTTTTTTGTTTGCCTATCCAAATATGTAAGTATGTGTTATGAAATTAAACTTGTAGTCTTTCGGAAATTATTTGTGCAAATTAAATAATTGATTGTCATGCATTGTAGAGTAACAAAGAACACTGCAATTACTTCAAGTTTGCAAACGATGATGATGGGAATGTTACCTCGACAATCTATTCCAATAGTGGACCTCGTAAAGCTATCCGAACAGAAGAATTGAATGATGTCAGGGCAAGGCTTTTTGAGATGGAAAATGAAATACATGACCATGGTAGAAGGCTTCAAAGGATGGACAACAATTTCAAGGCTATGATTTATGTAATTGTAGTCTGTATTGTTTTGTACTTTATTATGTAAGAATTTCAATGCTTGACTGTTAGTTTTTGGAAAATTTGATGAATGTAATTATGGATGTAATGGACATGAATAAATAGTTATTTATTCCACTCGTCTATCTACATTTTTATAAATGTCAATGGCAAAATATGCAGAAAATGTTTGTTATTAGATGAATTTGATATGCAGGATATGCAGAAAATGTTTGTTCTTTGCCTTCTGCTTAAAGAAAATGTATGTTCCATGTGCAGAAAATGTTCTTTGTATGTTCTTGAATTAGATGAATTTGTATGTTCTTTGCCTTATGGTTGAAGAAAACGTTTGATTTACTAGCTTGATATGCAGGATTCAACAGACTGTGGAATTTGATGAATTTCACTTTATGATTTACACCATGTGCAGTTTATCCTTTGATATATGGAAATGAGCACACAAACCCTTATGGTTTGTGATTGCTAAACATAAAATTTGAATTTTGAATGTATAAGACACTTGTTCGGTGAATATCATAGAGCATTGAAGACATGAAATATGGAAACATGGTTTGAAGATGCATCTGTCTTTAATATTTGAATATTTTGAATTTTGTTTATGCAGATTAAAAATGGCTTCTTCTTCTATTAACAACAACAATATTAGATTAAAACCAAGAATGTGTGATTGTGGAAAAACAGCTGCAATGTATATTGTACAAATCAATGAGAATGGAAATCAAGGGCGTCTCTTTTTTGTTTGCCTATCCAAATATGTAAGTATGTGTTATGAAATTAAACTTGTAGTCTTTCGGAAATTATTTGTGCAAATTAAATAATTGATTGTCATGCATTGTAGAGTAACAAAGAACACTGCAATTACTTCAAGTTTACAAACGATGATGATGGGAATGTTACCTCGACAATCTATTCCAATAGTGGACCTCGTAAAGCTATCCGAACAGAAGAATTGAATGATGTCAGGGCAAGGCTTTTTGAGATGGAAAATGAAATACATGACCATGGTAGAAGGCTTCAAAGGATGGACAACAATTTCAAGGCTATGATTTATGTAATTGTGGTTTGTATTGTTTTGTACTTTATTATGTAAGAATTTCAATGCTTGACTGTTAGTTTTTGGAAAATTTGATGAATGTAATTATGGATGTAATGGACATGTTGAATGTTAGGAGTTTGATTGAATGTGATGTTGTAATTTAATTATGGATGTAATGGTGGACATGTTGAATGTTAAGAGTTTAATTGAATGTGATGTAATTTAATTATGGATGTAATGTACTGTTTGAATTAACTCATTTATGGATATATTGTGATGTTTGAATTAAGTCATTTAAGAGACTCCAAATCTATTTTGTTCAAAAGTTGGACAAATTTGGAATTACTAAAACAGGCAGCACTACTGCATAGATATAGCAACAATAGAATGAGACATTCTATATCACAGCCACAACTAAGATACCAGGCAACATGAGACACAGCCACAACTAAGACCCCATAATAGCATGAACCATTCTATATCACAACACACACCACACCAGCAAAACAGCTAGAGCAGCAACAATATAAATCATAGCAAGCTCAAGCTAAATCAAACTATGGAAACTATAGTTCATTTACCATGGGGAGGTTGAACAGATTCAGCAAACTGTGGAAAAAAAATCAGTACAAACACAATGGCAAATGAACAACCTAACTGTGAGGGCTCACAAACATTATTCAGCATCTTAGCAGAAGTAAAAGTTGAATTTTATAGTTAATCATCAATCTGTCCCATTCAACATTATTCATAGTTAATCATCAATATCATTCATAGTCAACCATCAATCTACCCCATTCAACATCATTCATAGTTAATCATCAATCTGCCTCATTCAATATCATTCATAGTTAATCATCAATATCATTCATAGTTAACCATCAGTCTGCCCCATTCAACATCATTTATAGTTAATCATCAGTCTGTCCCATTCAACATCATTTAACATCATTCATAGTTAATCATCAATCTGCCCCATTTAATTTTATAGTTAAACATCATTCATAGTATTCTACAAACAAACTTATCTTAGGAGCATTCCACAAAAAAAAAAGAAAAAAAGAAAAAAAAAGGACTAAAAGTACAAAAAAAAATAAAAAAAATACAAAGTACTAATGTGAAACTAAAAAAAAATGGGACATTTGGAGTTGCATTTACATTCAAGTCAACAAAATTTGAAACGATTGTCGAACTTTGACTGCTAATGTTGTTCACCATTCCTGATTGAGTATGAGATGTGCCTCCAATATTGTCCACCGTTTGCATTGGCCTAAACCATGCCTATTTAATAAACAAGTACACTTTACAAATATTGTCCAGAAACATATATATAAATTAAAACAAGAACAAATATTTTACTTCAGACATTGAACACATATTGGTACATACATACTCTATTGCGTGCCATCCATGCAAGGAAAATAGTAAGGTGCAGTTTGCGTCGTCTTATGATTATAGTAACACAATTTCATTATACATTTCAGACATTAAAATAAAAAAAAACCAACAACATAAAAATTCAAATACATACCGAATCATGATAAGTATTGTATTGCATATCATCTGTAGAAAGAAAATTTAACTTCCGAGCTGACATTGAGGGACCGTACATCCCAATAGTAAGACACATACACATTGGTGAATAATTTATCTTCAAAACATTCAGCAAATTCCATATGACACAAAAGAAAAGGACTTACCTGTGTTTTTGGAGGCCTTTTACTCTTTCCCTTCAACCGATTCACTATTTCATCCACTTTGCTAACCTTCCGTTTCGTATATGGACGACATTTTTAGTGAGCAAGCATAGGACTAAGCATCTTGCGAGACATACTTGCTTTTGTAGTACTACGAGCAGACGGACTTTTTGACGAACTATGAAAAGTTGGTGCATTACTAGTAGAAGGTGGCACGTTACTAGTAGAAGGTGGCACATGACTCGCACTACCTGATTGATCTTTTCTCACTCTATCCTTTATTTCTATCAACCCAAGATCAAGCACTTCGTGTTTACCATTATCATTAGCAGCAATTTCTAGGATTTCATCCAACATCTTGTGGTATTTATCATGCAACTTTGCATTAACAACAACCCCGGCTTTAGTGCATGTGGTTAGAATGCATGTGTAGCCTCTTTCGATATCTTTTATCCATCTTGATACAATGTATTTATCTAGAACCTGATATATGCACCGCTCAAGTAGCACAGTAATTGCATGGGCACACATAATGCCCCTAAACTCAAACCACCAACACATACATTGCATTTCACATTCACTTGCATTAAAGTATACAACAAATTCCACTGTCTTCATTTTCTCACAAACAAGAACAGCCTCATTGGCATGATAAGTACAAATTGCTCCCTCTTCTTTCACAAGCTTCACACGACAATACAATAGTCGCTCCAATTCTACTTGCATTTCTTTAAATTTTGTATTCGTGTAGGCTGTACAAAATTGCTTCTCAAACTCATATATCATTAGGCAATCATACAATTTGTTTCGAGATTTAAAGTCTGCTTTCATCTCTTTCTCGACCTTACTTCTCAAGGCATTATCATATTGTTCAACAAATTGCTTTAAAGTTGTCTTTGAGTTCATGTATCCATCAGCAAATGCATTCATACAATCACTTCGTTGTGTAGTTGACATGCCAGCCCAAAAAACGTCTTTTACATAGGCAAGAATCCACCTATGTCACTCACTGTATAATACCCCCAACCATTCATTATCATCCAAATTGAACTTTGCAATCATCGCTTGCCATTCTTCATCAAATTCATCTTTTGTAAAAGAAACATAAACTGTATTTTGCAAAGCAAACTTTATCGATTCATATTGGGCATATCCTCTCAATTTCTCCGTAATTTTCTTCATTATATGCCATAAGCACCAATGATGTCGAGCTTGTGGAAAGACAACTTCAATGACATTTTGCATAGCTCTGCACTAGTTCGTTATTATAGCTTTTGGAGGAGCGTCTAACATGTAACTTAACCATTCTTTGCATAGCCACACAAATGTTTTAGTGTTCTCATTAGATAACAGCCCACAACCAAGCAAAATTGACTGCCCATGGTGATAAACTCCTACAAAAGGAGCAAATCGCATATCATATTTGTTTGTGAGATAGGTTGTGTCAAATGAAACCACATCCCCAAATGCTTTATAAGCTGCCCTACTTCTTATATCCGCCCAAAACAAGTTTCGCATGTGACCATCTTCATCGAGGTCAATTGCAGAATAGAAGTTTGAATTTTGTTGTTACATCTTATGAAAATAAAGTACAACTGATTCGACTTCTCCTACCCCAAGCCTCAATATTCTCATACTTTCAATGTGATTCCTTGCATCTCGTTCATCAAATGTTAATGCCTCATACCCCCCTGCATCAACAACTATAGAATGAAAATTCCTAATCACCCATATCCCTACTTTATTGTTTATTTCTAGTCTTCTCTTTACAAGAGTAAGAATTCTCTTATTTATTGCAAAATGCCGTGAGTCACTAGGAATCAAGTCATATGTATGTTCAAGCACAACGGTGGTTACCTTAAATCTTCTATCCTTTTATAGAGTCACTCTAACCTTTGCTTTACATTCAATAAATGATGACAAAGATGGTTCGAGAGGATGTACTTCTGATTGTTTCTCTTGCGTGCCCGAGTACATTCAATTCCAAAGTGTTTTACTTCCCCATCTTGTCCAATATTTTGTGTTCTATACAGCAAATTCGAGGTGTTTCGTATGTTTTGCATAAAACGAATATACTTCTTGCTTTGAGCTAAAACACATTCCCTTCTTAAGTTGTTCAACTTTACCAATCTCATTTAATGATGGATTGTTCTTTGCTTCTTCAACTTCCTTGTCCCATTTAATAAAGGATTGTTTGAATCAATGTCCATTGAAGCATGTAGCTTGAAACCAATATTCAAACAACATAACCAGTAACCACACAGGAAATAAAGTGTAAGTGCATGTAGTGAGATGATAATCTTACGCAAATCACATGCAACTTGGGTGATTTTTCATACACAACATTTCAATTTTCCTAAGGTTCTCCAACATAACATAAAATCAGTAAGGTAAGGTAAGGTTCTTTTAATTTTTCTAACAGATCATAAAATTAGAACAAAACTGTGCTTATTTCAGTGAAAGTTTGCCTATAAAATTAGAACAGAACTGTGCTCATAAAATCAATGCTAACGGTTCTCCACATCATGTGCTTTCAGTGAAGGTTTGCCTATAAAATCAGAATAGAACTGTGCTTTGAGATGAAACTGATAGGCAAACCTTCAATCACAATGGCTGTCTTTTCTCTTCAATTAAATTACATAATTAAATTTCATTTTATGGACATGTTGAATGCTTACGGTTCTCCATCCATAATTTAATTAATTGAAGGTTTGCCCATCAGTTTCATCGCAGGAACAATGGTTGTCTTTTCTCTTCAATTTATAACATAAAATATGGGGACTTTCATCAAACAATTGGCATGCATGACTATAATAGAAGATGTTTAACTGAGCCTCATTTCAAAACAACCAAAAACAATTTTTTTTTTTTTTTTTTTTTTTTTTTGCAAACATCACACAATTGCCTCTCACAAATGCATCTTAGATAAAAAAAAAAAAAAAGCAATAAAGGGACACAGAGATAAAGTTCAAAATACCTATTGAATCATTCTAATCAATAGAGTTCTATATATCAACAAATGTCAAAATTGTCTGCGACACAGAGATAAATAAAGGGAAACATCGACATAAATATAGAACTAACTTACCTAATATTTTACTTGAGGACGTCGGTGAACACCAGGTCGGTGGTCGTCGGTGAACACCAGGTCAGTGGTCGTCGAGATTGTCAATGAACACCCAAGTCGGAGGTCATCTTGTTTCCGTCTCTCTCTTTCTCTCTTATCTCCTCTCTTTTCTGTGTTTTATTTTTCATTTTCATTTGTTTGATATTCAAACCAGAACACATGAGTTCCACGTGCATCACATTTTTAGGAGAAAAACATCTTTTGAATTATTCGAGCCACATCCCATACAGGCTCCGTAGTGGAACTATTTTTTTTTTGTTTTGAAATTCAGTCACATCACTATGATAAACGCGGTTCCACTTTATTTATGTTTGAGAAAACTATCTAAGACCAAATATTGCCATGTGGGCTAATAAATTGATTCAAACTTAAATGGGGACGACATGCTTACGACGTCTACTTCAAAGAAATTTTTTGAAAGTGAAAATTAAATTAATAAAAATAAATCAAATTTTAAAAAAAGAATTTAGAAAAAATTGCATAAATAGTTCTTATAGTTTGGAACTCGTGTCACTTTGATCATTGACTTTTCAATTGTGATACATTTGATCCTGAATTTTGAATCTTGTTTCAAATAAGGACAATTGAAGATATCATTATTTAATTTCAAGAGCAAAATCGTCAATTTAATAAAATATAAACTAATTTGATAAAAATAAATATCAATTTTTTTTTAATTTTTTAAAAAATTATTTTTATTCACCAATGATAAAATTATACAAAATTGATAAAAATTAATAAAAAATACATGATTAATTTTTTAAAATTAATTTTACATGATCATCATCCAAACACATAATAAAAATTAATTTGGTAAAATAAATGAATATCTAAAAGATTTATCAATTTTACAAGTTTTATTTTTAGTGGGTAGAAATAATTTTTAAAAATTTAAAAATATTTGTTTGACATTTATTTTTGTCAAATTAGTTTATATTTTATCAAATTGATGATTTTACCCTTGAAAAATTTAATGATATCTTCAATTGTCTTTATTTAGAACAAGATTTAAAATTCAGGGTCAAATGTGTCACAATTGAAAAGTTAGAAACGAAAGTGACACAAACCCCAAACCATAGAGACTATTAGTGTAATTTACCTAAAAATTTATTAGGCATTTGACATGCATTAAAAAAAATTATTTTTTTTATACTTATTTAAGTCATATCAATTAATATTTTTTTTTAATTTTTTACATATTTAAAAAAAAATAAATCAAAAAATATTTATTTAAAATATTCCAAACTATCCTTATACTCAAAAAAGAGAATATTTTAAAAATGATACAGTAAAGTGTTTTTTGAATTTTTGTAAAGATAAATTACCAGGTTTTCTAGAAAGCAAAGTGCCCGTCTCTCACCTTCGTACGAAGAGCCAGCCCGTTAATCTTCAAACCGCAATCCACCGTCAGATCTTCCACAACAGACGTCTCAGATTTCACCATGATCTCAGCCCTAAACTAACAGCCCGAGCCTAGCCCATCACCAGCGGGTGATCCAAGGTCATTACCCTCCAATCAAATCGCAACTTCACGTATACGGCAAAGGTCAACTTGTTAGGTCAAGTTTGGCACCTAAAAAATAATTCACTTTTTATTTTTTTTTCATTACATCACCTCTCTATTTTTTTTACATATTTTTATAAAAAGTTAAAAAGTATACTTATTTAGATCATCCCAAACAACCCCTTAATCTCGAGAGACCTTCTCCAATCAATAACTCACAATTCCTTAATCTCGAGAGACCTTTTCCAATCAATAACTCACAATTTTTACACGTGACGAGTGAGGATTGAAGGAGAATGAAAAAAAAAAAAAAAAAATAGCAAAAAAAACTGCCAATGAAAAGAAAAAAGGGTCAAACATTTTTATTCAATCTGACCTCTCTCAAAGTTGGACCCAATAAGATACTGATGTGGACTTAGTTACCTCACCTGCAGGTTCTTCAATCACGACTCTTGTTCACTAACCTAAAAGTGCCTCTCTCTCACCGCTAAGATTGCAAACCCTCTCTCTCTCCCCCCCTAAAACCCCTCTCGTAAGTATTCGAATCTCCTTTTCAATTCTTTCGATTTAATTTCTTTCTCTGCATGTGTACATGTGTGTATCTGAGATTTTGTTTTCATATGATGCGAAAAGGTTGTTGCTTCATAGTGTTTGATGGGTTTCATATGATTTTGTTTTGTTTTCCTGGTGTTCTTTGATTTGCTGTTGATGTTTATGCGTTTAGAGTTCTTATTTTTTTACAAATTCTCTCAAAATTAAAGCCTATCTAGTCTAAGTTTATTTTGTTGTCAATTTCTGAGATGAGTGTTACTTGCTAGTAATTACTCCTTGTCCTGGAATTAGATATGTTTTGTTGGTGGGGACCATATATGGAAAGGTTGGATGATCTTCTCTAATTGAAGATGCTCATTTAATTGGTGGGTTTTAATTGTGAAGATTGGTTTTTGGCGTGACTCTGCATAAAGTAGTGGATATAGTGTGCATTAAAATGCATTGATAAGTGGGACTTTGTGTGCATTGACGAGTACCCACACAAAGATTCTTCTTCCAGTCGTTTCGTGTGTGTGGGTCTTTATTTTTTGTTAATTTAAGACTAGCAATCCAAGTGTGCTGTATAAATTGCCACAAAAAAGGGAAAAAAATAACGTTGAATTGGATTGGATGGGATGGGATGATTGGAGAGGAGTGAATGTATGCAGCTGTTGGTTTTTGTTTTGGGTTCTGATGTCGATGAATGCATTAAGTCAAAAGGTAGATAGGGCTTGTGGAGTTCTGAACAGAATTTTAGTTTTCGCTAAGGTGATTGATGGGAGTACGTCGTTCAAATTTTGTGTGGGGGAAATCTTTCTTATTGTGGATCAGATTTGGTTTTCTTTTGGAAGCTTGGGTGATATTGATATGCCTTGAAGCTGTTTATGTTTCATGAATTAATGGTAAATAGAGTGACATTGTATGTTGTTATTGAAGCTGTTTCTCTCCTTCAGTGTAGTATAATTTCATCTAGCAATATATTACTTTTCGGTTGCATATAATTAGTTAATGGCTTTGAGTTAAAATTAGCAAAAGGAATCTATCTCTTTGGGTGGTTTTATAAACCTATTCAAATCATGTTGCACATAGATATATTCATGTCTTTTGTTGGAAAAGAATGAATCTGTATTTTTTTGGGGTTAACTCAGTCTGTGGTTGCTCAAGAGTGCCTGTACAAATTGTCTTATTGAATGGATTCCATTGTTGGTGGTGATGGTGATTGCAACTGCGGTGTACGTATGTTTGTTTATATATTGTTATTTAGTAAATGCCACATTTATATGAGTGCATCTATTTGGAATTATTTTTTAAACAAACCAGTGAAGTAAATCTCAATTTTGTGGACTAGGAGATTCAGGCACAATATTCATGTTCATAGTTATATTCCTAGATTGATAAAAAACTATTGTGTATGAATACTATGTTAAAGATATATATGTATCTTTATATAGATTAAATATAAACAATGTATAGATTAGATTAACCTATAATGGATAGGTTAGGTGTAGTGCTTGCTTTCGGTGGCTTTTCCTCTCTCAAGCCATGATGATGTTTGTATTCACTCCTATATAACGGAGAACAATACAACATTCAATATATCAATAACATCTATCAATACACAATTTATTCTCTCTCTCTTTCTGTAAACATTAATTCTAATATGGTATCAGAACTATAAGATTTAGGCCTGTATTTCTTTCTCACCGGTGGGCAGCCGGCCGACAACTTTGCCTTCGCTGCCCGTTGGAGTTGTCTACACATACCTTCTGCATTATAACGTCCTCTCTGGGTGGAATGTACTCTACCTTCATATCTACTACTGAAAGCAAGCACTACACCTACAGCAAGCACTACACCTAACCTATCCATTATACATTAATCTAATCTATACATTGTTTATATATTCAAAGTAACCTGCGCTGACAGTTGATACACTTCAAACGTCCTGTTCTGCAGTCGCCGGGACAAGTTTGTGACCGCAGTCATTGTCTCCATACATGATTTCAGCGTATACGAGTTTGCCTCAATGTCCGATTGTGTAGCCATTATCTGCTCCACTGTCATTTCTGGATAGCTAAGCACCAGGGACGGCCGAAGGTCGTTTGGTTGAGGTTCAAGGACAACCGCTACGGTTATCTCTCTTGTAGCCTCGTTAAGGTCTAGAAAGAGGGTGAGCGAACCACGGGAAGAAGATGCCATGTTATGTTAGGGGTTGCAAAAGCTATTAGAGAACGCAGAGCTTTCAGTTTGTTTTGCTTTCAACCAGCCTCAGCCTCCACCTTGATTTAAATAGAGAGCGCAGAGCCGCAGACGACAAACAAAACAGGATCACGTGTATCGCGCGCCGCTCGACACGACTTTTTATGTATTGGGCGCACCTTTTGAGGGCGCAACTTTTGAGGGGCACGGTTTTTGAGGGTGCGATATATCTATATATGTATATCTTTTGAGCAGCCTATATACACAAATATAGAGTGTCTTTACCAATGGTCCGATACAACCATACAGTGTCTTCACCAACGGTTTAACATGACCATACATTGTCCGCTACAACGGTCTAACACGACTATAGAGTGTCCTTTACAATGGTCTAACACCACTATACAGTGTCTCCTATCCTATTTTATTTTGTTTGTCAATTTATTTTTTCGTTTTGTTATTCTCTCCAAACTCAAGTTGGTTTGTACCTATCCTCCTTGAGTTTGAGGGGGGCTGTTAAAGATATATATGTATCTTTATATAGATTAAATATATAAACAATGTATAGATTAGATTAATGTATAATGGATAGGTTAGGTGTAGTGCTTGCTGTAGGTTGCTTTTCCTCTCGCAAGCCATGATGATGTTTGTATTTACTCCTATATAATGGAGAACAATACAACATTCAATACATCAATAACATCTATCAATACACAATTTATTCTCTCTCTTTCTCTATACATTAATTCTAATATACTATTCATCAAACAATATGCAGTTTTGAGACCCCATATAAGGGCTTTAAGTTTGAAACTTTTAGGGAAACTTCTGTTAACCGGTGTTTGAGTTTTCTAATGCTCAAATGAATTATTTACCTTGTATTTATTTGTTTCATGGTATAATTCTTTCTACTTTGCATTGTAGTGGTGCTAATTTGTTCAATTTCTTTGTTGTGGATTGGTAGTTGCTTTGAAGTGCTTCCATCATGTTTGGGCGCGCTCCAAAGAGGAGTGATAACAACAAATACTATGAGATTCTAGGTGTTTCAAAAAGTGCAAGTCAAGATGAGCTCAAGAAGGCATATAGAAAATCTGCCATAAAAAACCATCCAGACAAAGGTGGAGATCCCGAGAAGGTGAACCTATAAACCCCTATTCTGTTGCTCATGTGCATATTTGACCTGTTGGAAAATTTTGTATGCCATGCTCAGATTACTTTTGATATTAAAATCTATTATGTTGAAAAAAATAAATAAAAAAGCAATATTTATTTTTAACCCAACAAATATGATTATGGAAAAAAAATATGTGTATCGGTAAGTTTTTTTCAAATTGTGCGAAAAATAAAAAAATTCACGGTTCCGGTTACCGCAACCGTTACACTACGACCTTTACACCCCGCAACCGCAACCGCGTCACCGCCACCGTTACGGCGACCGCAACCGCTACCGCTTTTCAGAACCTTGCTTTTGATATTAAAATCTATTATGTTGAAAAAAATAAATAAAAAAGCAAGCACAAAATTAAGATAGTTTGTGACAACATACACAACCATATCTTGATTAGTACTCGAATTAGATTTCTTTGAACTTCTAGTCTTATTGTAACACTTTTGTTTGTTGTTATTATGAACCAGTTCAAGGAGCTGGCTCAAGCCTATGAAGTTCTTAGCGATCCAGAGAAAAGAGAAATTTATGATCAATATGGTGAAGATGCCCTTAAAGAGGGAATGGGAGGGGCTGGTGCTTCCCATAATCCATTTGATATATTTGAACAATTTTTTGGTGGAGCTTCTTTTGGTGGTGCGAGGCCTGCTTAATTAAAATTTATTTTTGTCATTGTTATCTTGGTTGTCCGTTCTTTTGACAACTTGGGCAGATAAGTTACCATTTTACAATGATCTCAAAATTTGTAGGTGGTGGTAGTTCAAGAGGTAGAAAGCAGCAAGGTGAAGATGTAGTTCATACTCTGAAGGTTTCTTTGGAGGACTTGTACAATGGCACAACTAAGAAGATCTCTCTTTCGAGGAATATCTTGTGCCCAAAATGTAAAGGGTATGTCTTCTGTCTAAGTTGATTATTCTATTTTGTTGTACTGTTGCTTAGGTTTGTTTGGTCTTTTATCGAAGCTTCTTGTTTAGATTGATATTTATGTGAGGTAGTCTTCATGTGGATTCATCTGTGAGTGTATGGATGAAGTTGGCTGCTGAATTCACATTTTTACCTCAATAGTAGATTGCCGATGTCTGGTCTGATGTTTTTCTTCTGGGACTACATACTTTGGCCCAATTCAATAAATAGATCTTTTCCTCCTAGTCCCACCTTATAGGTCCTGTTTGTACTTGTATGAAGTATTTATTTGACTGATTGTCAAAATTTTTCTTTCTTGTTTTTTGGTGCATTTATTTTGTCTTTTAGTCCTTACTTTCTGGGAAATTGTGCTAGAAAAAAATTGGAAAGTGCCTATAAATTGTAATTTGAGTCAAGAAATCCTTGAAAAAATCTATTAAGGCATACTATTTTTTAGGTTATTTTGTAGAAATTACTATTGACACAAGTGTTCACGTTTTAAACCCTCCCCCCCAAAAGGAAAAAAAACAGTTGTTGACTGGCCTACAGTGGTAGCAAATTGGGTGAGTGCATGCAATTTTTACAGGAATGGGCTAGCTTTGGCCTGGTAATGTGTGGTGGGTTGCCTTTGCAAGGTTGATGAAGTTGAGAAGCCTTGCGCAAATGAATTGAGTAGTAAAATGGAAGTCTGAGACATATTGATCATGGACTGGGAATACTAGTGTTACTAGATATGTGCTTTTCTCACATTTTTTTGTTATTAGCTTGGGCCACTACTCTAGCTTTTTTTAAAATATATGAATGTTTTGATTTGCATTTATAATTTCTCAGGAAAGGATCAAAGAGTGGGGCATCTGGAAGCTGTCACGGGTGCCATGGTACTGGAATGAAGATCTCAACACGACAGATTGCACCAGGCATGATCCAACGGATGCAACATGTCTGTCCTGAATGTGGAGGCTCAGGTTCTAAACAATCACACACGTGTTTCACTATTTCCATTTTGGCTCAATATACTATTATATGAACCATACAATTCTTGTTTCACTGTGTCCATTTTGGCTCAATATACTATTCTATGAAGCACACATCTCACTTAATATAAACATTTTTGTCACCATTTTGGTTCCCAAAGAATCCATAACAATATTATATTTTCTTCAAATATTTATCTTGTCTAGTAGTTATTATTACAAGGACCAAAAAGTAAATCACTGCCAATAATGGCTATCCGCCTCTGTCCACTCTCACCTTGATTTCCTGCACGCATTAAAGTGCTACTATTCTAGTATATATATATATGTATATATCAGTACTAATATAATAAGGAAACACTAGGGGCAATACAATTTTTGGTGAAGCTTTGTGACATGTTTATTTACTGAGAAAATCCAAACCAAATCGAATATTTCTCTAATTCAGGCTCTTTCTTTTGATTGAGAGGAAGGATAAATAAGTAAACTAACACCTTCCTTAGTTGAATTCGGAATAGGATAATTAAGTAAATTAACACATGTTGATCAATTAGCTGAATCTAACCCATGTTCTATATGCAAGAACTCTCTCTAACCTCTCCCTCAATCTTATTCAGTTAAATAATATAACACTTCCTCTAAAAACATTGTTGCACATCCTGAAGTATCCAAGCTGCTTCCTTAAGAATCGGCTTCTCCCTAGGTAATTTGCCCTCAGATTAGATTGGTGGAGTTTGTTTTGCACTCTTTGAATAGTTTTTCTGTATGGTTTACTAAGAAAATTGTGGAGTTGAACTTAATTTTTGATACTATTATCAAGTGTGGCTTTGAAGAAAAAGTTGTGTTGTGAGTTTTTGCATAAGAAGTGTAGAAGAGAGAAATTGTCATGAGCTCTTGCTTGGCATTATTATTATTTTTGTAACTCATTTTTTTGGTCCTCTCTCTCTAGGTAGTTTTCTATTTTGGGGTGATTTGTTTTTGCTTCCTTGTACAGTTGTTTTTTTCATATTTCACTTTTCTTCCTTTTGTTCTTTACTTTATGGATGTGTAATTTAGAGTCGATTGGTTGACTACTGGATTGTTAGCGTGGGATATATCAAATTCCATTTTCATAATAATTGATCTCATTATTAATTATTGAAATTCAGATTTGTTGGTGGCTTTGCCTTCTAATCTGTTCAGGATTGTGAATTTCATTGACTCCTTTAACAAAACGGTTTTATATATCTTGCATGGAGATTGTTTAACTCATTTTGGGTTTGGAAATATGAGTACATGGAACTTTATCACCACCTAGAACTATGTGTGGTCTACTTAAGAAGAACTGCTAACAAAGGCAAGTTTGACATTACAAAAACATGGTGTAGTTTAGACATTGCTCTTTTCTATGATAGCTCAAATTAGTACCATATGCTTTTTACATGTTTTAGGTTTTGAAGAACAATCTTACAATATTTTGTTTTTGTTTTGTGTTGTTTGTTTTCTTTTGGATTACAACAAATGAATTCTTTATTCTTTATTTATTTATTTCTTGGTGTTGCCCACAGAAATGATGAGATGAAATGGGTGGGGGTTTGGTCATATCCATGCAAAGTTTTGAGTCTTAATTTATTTGTAAAAGATTCTAATGGGCTGTGGATGTAATAATGGGTTTGTGGGTTAATATATGACAGATTGTGTGAAAATTTCCTTACATGTGTTCACAAAATACTTCAAAAAAGTTATCTGTTGCTTTGTATCTCTCAGTTAATTCATGTTGGTAGTTTATGGAGTCCTGCTTTCCATTTCCCCCCTTTTTTCGCGGCTATGAGAATAAGTACAGAGGCATGTTAAAGCCATTATTTTTTTTTATTGAATTGAAATTGGTTCATTTCAAATTTGCTATTGCACTTTTTTCTTGGGGGGGGGGGGGGGGGGGTTTAAAAATGGATGTGTTGCACATGGGATGTCGTTTGCTTAGTAATATTAATTAAAATGTTGGAATCTGTCATTGCTTCAGGAGAGGTTATCAGTGATAGGGATAGGTGCCCGCAGTGTAAAGGTAACAAGGTTAAGGCGGAAAAGAAAGTGCTGGAGGTGCATGTTGAGAAAGGGATGCAGCATGCCCAGAAGATTTCCTTCAGGGGAGAAGCTGATGAGGCAGTAAGTAAAGTTTGATTGTCACACATAATTGATTTTAGTGTGTTCTCGTCTTTACACTACACGAACTGCTTGGAGTTCTGGACTAATTTGATATGGACTGGAATACAAATACACACCCTTCTATGCTATCCAACATTCCAACTGCTACAGAAAATTTCATGAAATCATTTGCAAATTCTAAAAAGTGGTCTTTTATGCTGGTTTGAGAAACAGTTTTGTGTTCTATTATGTGGCTGAGAAGCATTTTGTAGCTTGAAGCTTCCTGAGTGATGAAATGCTAGTTCAATTCGTTTGACATTGTGTTCTGTTCTTGTGATTATCTTATTATGGCAAGAAATTTCTGAGCTTCTGTTATCCCTTATGATCAGCCTGATACAATTCCGGGAGACATTGTTTTTGTATTGCATCAAAAGGAGCATCCCAAGTTCAAGCGGAAGTTTGATGATCTCTATGTAGAACACTCGCTCAGTTTAACGGAGGCTCTCTGTGGTTTTCAGTTTGCCCTGACTCATCTTGATGGCAGGCAGCTCCTTATTAAGTCAAATCCCGGCGAGGTCATCAAGCCAGGTAAATAAATACTAGATGGCTTCATGATTTTTTTTTCTCTCTCTCTCTCTCTCTCTCTCTCTCTCTCTCGGACTTCGTTTGATTAGAAAGAATAACATGATGGAAAGTGAAAGTGGTAAAAAATGTGAAGTGAATGAAAAGAAATGGAAAGGAAATTTTTTTTTTTTTTTGCAAGCATTTGATTAAGATGAAAAAAAACTTTGCAAGTAAAAGAGAGATTTGGAATTATAATTATTACGCAATAAAGAAACAGAGAATTGAAATTATAATTATCACTAATTCTAAGAACACAATAAAAACAGTGTGTATTGACAAGCTGTAATTTATTTTGAATGTGGACCCCACCATACTTAGGGTTTAATCTTAGCCATGCGTTGCTTTTTGTGGATCATATTGTGTTCCTGGAATTGCCATTAATTATAAGTAACCCTTGCATGAATAAATTTAAATTTTATTGCTTTTCCTGTGTTTTTTTTCCCACCACTTTCATGCTACACAAACTAAAAAAGATGTTTCATTTTTTACTCTTTCCTTTACTTTCCACCACTTTTATTCTAATAATCAAACTCAGCCTTGTGGATTGTTCTTCAATGGAAACTGTGACTTCTGTGATTTCATTTCATTTTTATTGTTCCAAATACAGGTCAGTCCAAGGCGATCAATGATGAGGGAATGCCACACCACCAGAGGCCATTCATGAAGGGCCGGCTTTTCATCCACTTCAACGTGGATTTCCCAGAATCCGGATTTCTTTCCCCTGACAAGTGCCGGGATTTAGAGGCAATTCTACCACCGAGGCCAAGCAAGCAGTCATTGGACATGGAGATGGATGAGTGTGAGGAGACCACTTTGCATGATGTCAACATGGAGGAAGAGATGAGGCGGAAGGAGCAGCACCGACTGCATGAGGCTTATGATGATGAAGACAATGATGATAATGATGAGCCAACTATGCACCGTATGGCGTGTAACCAGCAATAATTATCTCGGCATTTGTGTTTTGCATTAGGGAGGTGTTTCCGGATATTATTATTATTATTATTTTGTTTTTGTTTTTGTTTTTGAGATGATATGTTATATTTTAATATATAGAATGAATAGAGTGCTGGTGTTGGTAGGTTTTCTTGTTTCATAACTCTTTTCCTTCAATATATATATATATATATATTAGTGGATCTTGTGAGCTGCAGTAATTTCAAAATTTAGAGGGATGGTCATAAGAGTAGTTGAAGGAAAAGATAATTTTTATTTTTTTTACTCCATTGTTCTTTTCTATCTTCTTCTCTTGCACAAATTAATGTTTTAGTGCACTTTTAAGTATCATGTTTTGAGGTATATATGGTTAAAAGTGTAAGGATATAGTATCTGTTGGGGAGAAAAGTAAATTGTTTGGGTCTATTAGGGTGCACAAAATAAAATTTGAGAACCAAACTAACCTGGCCTCTCTATGTGTTGGGCTGACTCAGGTTTTTTTTGGTACAATGGTTTGGTTCTTGGTATTAAAATCATTAATGATTGGGTAGATTCTTGGCTTAGCCCATATTTAAATCAAATTAACTTGAGACTCGAATCTATGTATATATTGTATTAAATTTTATTTATATTAACATATTTTCATGTAATTGAGTGTGTTTATAAAGGGAAAGCCTATAGTACTAAACTATCAGATTCATCTTTCATTTACTTCTCGACTACCAAACTACAAATCATATTTCATATGTTTGGTTGTAAGTTGTAACTCATATATAACTAAAATTGACTCATTTTATTCTTTTAAAATAATTGACTCATTTTCTTTTAAAATAATATATATATATATATATATATATATTTTTTTTTTTGGGGTTATGTTAAATTATTCAAGGGTAGTTTATTTTAATTAATTTTGTTGAATGTTCAAAACTTGATCATTTTAGGGTTAATTACACTAAAATTCTCTCAACTAAAAACAAAACTCAAATAGTATACATTAATGTATGTTTATTTGCAAATATTAATTTATGGGCAATGCTAGAGACCTCTAATTTAGAGGCTCTAATACATCTCTAATGAGGTGGAAAAGGCAAAAAATAAATAAATAAATAAATAATCAAGACACAGCACTGATGTGGCAGTGGGTGGGACCCATTGCCACATCACTAGTGGTACCTCTAATTAGAGGTCCCAAGCAATTTTCTTAATTTATTTCATCATCTATAAACCCTTACAGTTTGACCTCTTCAACTATGAAAATGTACAACTTTCATACCCTTTAGACCACCTCCTTAGAAGGGGTGTATTTGTATTATTTTTGTAGTTGGAAGTCAATATAAACGGATTTATAAATATAGAAGTTAAGTGATACTCACTAATAGTTGATGCAGTATTGATGTAATTAACTGATTATTCTAATTATTTATTGTTAATTACTTATTGTTTGTGTGTGGGAAGACAAGTAGAATGGTTTAAATTCTACTAAATAAAAAATAAAAAATTTTATTCAAAAATTAGAATTTGTTTTTATAGTCTCGCCATCCCCCAGAAAAAAAGGAAAAGGAATCTACAGATTTTTCTCTCATAGTAACAAAGGTCGATTCATCCTTCTTGTGCATTGCACATGGCTTGTAGTGACTAGTCACTTTATATATTGCCAACTCAATGAGCATTTATTAGTGAACCAAAAACATTTAGGATATTTTGGTTTCAAATTCTTATGAGACAAACCATGCAATGTTCACTTCCCCAATGCATGTTCACTTTCACTTTCCCAACAAGTAGTGATCATCATTCAAATCAAATAAAATCAGACAAAACAAAAAGAGTCCTATATTTTGAATGCACTTTCTTTGTCTCAAACTGCACACCACATTTTATGATGGCTAAGCTCATGAAGGCTTTAATTGATATTAGTCCATAGTTTCATCATCACCAACTAGAAAGAATTCTAAATAATGAAAGGGTATGGCTTCTGTTTAGTTCGGAATCAGACTGGATCGTGCTATTGAGCCCGTAGAGATCCGCCATGGGTCCTGTTTTGATAATCTGAACCGTTTCAATGTGTAGAACTTGTCGAGTACTATATGTCTGTAAAAAATCACGTTGATCGGATATCGATAGCTATATGGTCAAATCAGTTTCGTATTAAAAATATTAGACAGTGAACAAATTAACAGTTGACAAAAAACGTTTTTGATCACATAACTATCGATATCTGATCAACGTGATTTTTTATAGGCATATAGTACTCGACGATTTCTACACGTTGAACGGTTCAGATTATCAAAACGGGACCCGTGATGAATCTTCACGAACCCAACAACACGATCCAATCCGATCCCGAACTAGACAGAAACCATAAACGTATGTGCCAGCCCTTAAGTAACCACTGTTGTGGATATATTTGGTCGTAATTAAAGATCATGAAATGTGCAAGACAGCTAGGTTGGAGAGGGGGTTCCAACTCCACTTGATAAGTCTATTAAAAGATGTTCGGCTATTGAGTCAATCGGTGGTGTTATATGAATCAATTAATATATTAATATTAGTTATAATATTATTATTGATCTCACTCATTATATAAATTATAAATATTAAAAACAGTTTAAATTATATTACATTATCAATTGATACACTAGTCAGTACACTAATTAGTGGATATAACATTATTATTGAGTCAATTGATGATGCTCACGTGATACAATTTTTGTGTGGCCATCTAAAGTCAATGACACGCGGACCAAATTTATTGGCTAATGCTGATTTCTATGATAAATATAACACTTCTCATTAACTTGAGATTTTTTAAATTTTATTTCCTATAATTTGAACCGCAGCATCCATTTCCAAACAACTCCCATGTTACTGAACTTAAGATACCAATTAAGAATGTTTGTGATAAATATTGTCATCAATCTTTTGGTCATATTGGGGGTGGGGTAAATTGGAAAGGTTAATTTTGCAACCGTAAGCATGACAATACTAATAAAAGTAAGAAATAATATGATAATTATAGATAAATATTGCTGAATAACGAGAGATAAAAAAAGTAAAAATGAGTGTGAAATGTAATAATTTAATATTTTAGTCTTATTATATTTAAAAACATTCAATTATATTAATTTATACAACGAAATTTAATACATATATAATTTACGCTGGCAAGACATAGAACGCTATGCAAGAAGAAAAAGTCGTCCCCACCTTACTTCTTTATCAAAGCAGGAAAAACTAGCATAGAGTAGGATCACAACGTGAAGGAAATTGTCGGCTTCCTTGCTTGAGGAAAAGGTTTACAAAAATGGAGACATACTAGAGTAGAAAAATACATTGAAACTTTAATTCTTGAGTTTTAAAGTCAGCTCTACTGAATTGACAGTGGACCTTACCTACTGTGATGTGATGTTTTGGTCATAGTTTGTTTGTTTGTTTGTTTTTTTTTTTCTCCTTGCCATGTCATTAGTACTTTATTAGAGTACCAAAATTAGTGCTCTGAATCATTACTTTACTAGAATAACGTCTGATCATGTTTCTTGATTAAGTAGAAAAGAGATATACGAAGTCTGTTTTGTTTCTCTGTGCATCTCCATGATAGGTAAATCCTCATAAAAATGAACAACTTTCGTGTAATTTGTGATTGGATATAACTTTTAAGATTTTTTTATCTCTATCCCAAATATCACGTCCTTGGAAATGAAATGTTGAGCTCAATTCCAATATATAGTAGGCACGAACTTCTAAGTTTTAACTAATCTTGTTACTTTCATTTTACATTATATGTTTATTCCCAAAGTATCTATGTAATATGTTTGCTAATGATGTTTAGATTTGTAAGGTCTGACTTGAACCGATGAACTTGCATGAGAAGACGTGATTCTTGGGTATACATTGACGTGGTGCCAGTCAAAGTCCCACCAACACTTAAGGGGTCGTTTGTTAATGTTTTTGTTTCTTATTTTCTATTTTTATTTCTTTTTTGAAAACTAAAAACAAAAAGAGAGATTTATTTAAAAATCTCTTTTAACGGACTTATAGTCCAATAAACCCACAAAGTTTTTTTTGTGTTCTATCAAATTCCATATATTTAGACTTGTACTTCAGGAGGTCATTGTTTTCCTAATTTATAATTCTTTTGGGACTATTATACCTTTTGTTATATTTTGATAGTATGTATAATACACAATAAGATATATACGGTTTTCATATATATATTTTTTTAAATTCTGTTTTGGTAGTTTTGGTGATCTAAGATCTTGGAAGAATCAGTGGATATATTTTCCATTATAGGTTTTTGTAGGAGGTTCGTGTACTCGTTGGTGGTGAGAGAACATTCGAATATTGTCTTCTTCCATTGTTGTGGTTTGAGACTATTTTTTTTTTTTTCATTGTTGCGATTTTGAAGCTCAATTTTCTTCCATTATCACGGTTTTGGAGTTCAGAATTGTTGGACAAACGTTGGAGAACATTCAAATACTATCTTCTTCTATTATTGTGGTTCGAAGCTCTATTTTCTTTCATTGTCACAATTTTAAAGCGCTTTTTTCTTCCATTGTTGCGGTTTCGAAGTTCAGAATTGTTGGATGAAAGTTAACATCATTTTTTATTTTGCAATTACATGTAGGTAAGCACTTGGTAGGGATTCATGTTCAGTAATGTTTGTGTATGTTCAGAATTGTTCAATAAAGTTAGATTAGACTTTTCAGTGTGTATATGTTTATTGGTTGGGTATTTTAGTGAATGTGAACGTTTACATCCACATAAGTCATTGTTGATGTGAATTATCAAATTTTAATGTTTTGCATTTAGTGATGTGAACTTTAACATTAGAAGCATGTGATGGTTGCATGATGTGCAATGCAGACTGATGATTACATGATTATTGCATATTGCTAATGTTCACATATTACTAATTATTATATGAGTTTTGCATTTTTTCGCATGATTATTACATGGTGTGAATATTTACATTGTATGGAGTCATTGCTTGTTGTGTATTATCACATTGTAACGTATTGCAAATGGTGTTGTGATCATCACATTATTAATCAATGTCAATATTCATATAAGCGCAAACAATAATGCGTTATTTTACCAACATGCATTTGTAATGTGAAAGTTCATATTAACATTATTTATCGGGTA